TCCTTCCTTCCTTCCTTCCTTCCTTCCTTCCTTCCTTCCTTCCTTCCCTGATGATGTTTCCTAGTTGGGTCATGAAACGTCTGCAAGGAAACCACCCAGCTCAGAGAGGACCACACAGTCCTCCTCCTCTCCCTCCTCCTGGTCCCCCTCCTCCCCCTCCTCTTCCCGCTCCTCCTCCTCTCCGCAAATCTTCCTCCCTTCTAGCATTGATGATGTTGCCTAGTTGGGTCATGAAACGTCTGCAAGGAAACCACCCAGCTCAGAGAGGACCCCACAGTCCTCCTCCTCATTCCTCCTCCTCATCCCTCCTCCCCCTCCTCTTCCCTCTCCTCCTCCTCCTCCTCTCCCCAAACTCCTCTCCCTTCCAGGGCTGATATTGTTCCCTAGTTGGGTCATGAAACGTCTTCAAGGACACCACCCAGCTCAGAGAGCACCAAATTCAACCCCTGAGCTCCGAATATTCTCTTCCCTGGCTAATTTCTCCTGCACCTGTTTCCCTTTCTCCCAAGTGCTGCAGCCAGCTCCCCATCAAGTCATCACGAACCTTCCGGAAGGGGTGAGGCCGCCACCCACCCGGCCCACCCGGCCGCCCCCACCTCTGATCCCCTCCTCCAAGACGGTGCTGCCTTCCGAGAAGCCCTCCTTCATCCTGGGAGGCTCCATCTCGCAAGTAAGCAGGAAAGGGGAAAGGGAGGGGATTTGATCCGGCTGGTCTTCCCTGGCCGAGACCCTCGAGGGAAGAGAGACGGGAGGTTCTTGAATTGGATGGGTGGGTAGATGGAGATAGATGGGTAGATGGAGATAGATGGGTAGATGGAGATAGATAGATAGATGAGATAGATGAGAGAGAGAGATGAGATAGATAGGTAGGTAGGTAGGTAGTAGGTATAGATAGAGATAGATAAATAGATAGATGATAGATAGATAGAGATAGATAGATAAATAGATAGATGATAGATAGATAGATAGATAGATAGATAGATAGATAGATAGATAGATAGATAGATAGATGATACATAGATAGATCGATAGATAGAGTGATAGATAGATAGATAGATAGATGATAGATTGATAGATAGATAGATAGATAGATAGATAGATAGGTAGGTAGAGATAGAGATAGATAGATAAATAGATAGATGATAGATAGAGATAGATAAATAGATAGATGATAGATAGATAGATAGATAGATAG